GTATAGGTGGTCTGTTTCCTTTTTCTGGTGTTCTGGGTTGCTGCAGTCCATTTGTACCCATCTGAATAATGTTCTTACACAGTTCCTGTTATGGGAGGTTGGGTTGTTACTTTGATAATGAAGCACTTGGTTAGTGTGAGTTGTTTTTTGATAGACTTGCATTTCTAATTTGCTGTTGTTTCCTCTACGGATAAGGATATCCAGGAAGGGTAGTGTGTTGTTACCTGATGTCTTAGAAGGATGAGCAGAATGTTCCTCTGGCCAGAACATCCTCCTGTTTGACTCTTCCAGCTGATCATTACATAATTAATTATTCAACAGGATGAAATATGAAAATCTGAATTTGGCATCATTCTTTTTTTACTGCAAGTCACTATTTTACATTGAATACTATCTTGGGTACTGAAGGCAGAAATCTAGCAGAGATATGGCTGGGTTCACATAATGTACTAAGCCATAGAGTAACCCGTAGTTTACAAACTACATTGGCATGAGTTCACAGAACATTCCAAACTCAACCCAAATGAAGCACCTTATGGGCTTGTGCAATATAGAATCCCAGTCACTAAATAAATGCATAGCAAGTAGTCAGTGATCATGAGGATCATTTATGTTCTCTAATCACATGTGAACTCTGGTTTCAAGGATCAGTTTTCCTGACTAGATCTGCATTAGTATTATTAAGTATCTTAGGCGTTCCCTTGTTTAATGCACAAGCAGAAGCTCACCACTGGATGTAAATGGGAAAGTTGCTTCTTGATCTTCAAGATCTGCACTATGTAACGTTAATGCATCCCTATGAATCAAACAGAAAAGAAAACAAAGTTGCCACTCTGCTTATTCAAGAGTCACGTACAAGATCAGGAATGTGGCCTTAGGTTATAAAAAAGGAAAGAATTACTTTGGAACCCATCAGTTTCACATGAGAAATCATACAATTTATTTAAGTACTGAGGAGCACATTACAGGAAGCACCACATCTTTGCAGAGACATTGCAAATAAAAATGGGCGATCTTCATCCTATTTCAGAAACAGACCCACCACATTCAACTGTATGCTCCCAACTGAAGTTGGCCAACCAGATGTTTCTGAAAGTTCAGAAGGTGGGAATAACGGTTAAAACATCTGGTCTCTTCTGTACGTTTGTTTGCCCATCTGATAAATGCATGTATAAACAACGTTTGCAAAGTTTGTGAATACTAAAATTCCATTTAATGGAATATGGGATGTAGCTATTCATGGGTCCACCATTAATTTATCAAACTATTTTTAACAAGCAGTTCTCAGCAGGCTGAATTCCATGAGTTAATTTTGGAAGGGTGGGGTGTGGGGTTTGTTTGTTTGGGACACAAGGCAAATGTCCATCCATTTTTCTGAGTGGAATAAAATGTTTTCCTCTTTGTTGATCATTATTAAACCACTCAGGATTCCCTATGGGACTTGGTTGTGTTCTGTGCCTCTTTTCCAGGCTATTGATCAAGGAAAATTTAAGCAAATATATCAGGGCATATGTTCATCTCAGTCACATTCAGTTGAACTAGACTGAGCTGCAGAGATGGTACACAAAAGATGCCTCAAGTTCTTAAGTCTGGAGAGGGAATCAGAGGGTGTAGAGAAGAGACCAAAAACTCTATAATCCAACATGTTTCTATGTATTTCTTGAACTACCATGAAATATTTGTGCTTTTAACTGCTCTCAAATAGCTAACTGTCCTTGGAAACTAGTATGCCATACAAATTCTATGTAATCCCAGGAGTTTTAACTGTAGGGTTTGTGTAGGCAAGGAGTGTGGTAGAAAATTTCTGGAAAACTCATTTGGGTTTCCTCAGGTCTGAGAGATCTAGCACGAAACTACAGAAGAAGAAATATATAATGCTGAACTTAAGCAGAAGAGAAGGCCACTTCTGTCTCTGTTGAAAAAATGAAATGATCTTTTCTATCTGAAATATTTGTCCCTTTGAAAATTGAAGATCTTAAAGCAGAATCCAAGTATGTACTTTGGTAGACAGACTTGCTTCTATCAGTGGAACAGGCAATGGTTTCTCCTCCCTTCTGAAGTCCACACAAATGCTTGACATCTACTGTGGAGGATTAAGGGACTCTCCAAAAAAGATCTGGAAAGGAGAGGAGCTGGACGTTCCATTCCACAGATGGTAATGTTAGAATTCTACCCTTAATAACATGTGATGAATTTGCTGTGTTGGAGGACGAAGCCAATGGTATCACTTCTCACCTGCTAAATGCTTCTTGCCCCACAGCCATCTCTGAAGGTAAATCTCTGACCGCAGCCTCCCTAAATTGAGAGACAGAACTCTGTGAAAGCTATCAAAGAATGTTGACTATTGATCAAATAAATTTGTGATGATGATGATGAAGCTATCAAAGAACCTCCTCTGGGAAAAACAGGAATGGCCATGGAATCCCAGGAGCAGTCTGCTCCTGGGATTCCATGGCCATCCCTATTTTTCCCAGAGGAGGTTCTTTGATAGCTTCATCATCATTATCACAAATGTATTTGTTCAATAAATTTGATCATTACAAACCAAACCAAGCCACTTTCTGAGAGGACATTGTTTATGATCAATTCAACCAGGACAGCTTTCCTTCCCTAATTATTTCTTTAACTAGCAGGGGCCCAGAAGCTAAAAGCACTGTGCAAGAAGACATTGCTTTCATCCCATCAGCCAGTAACTGAAAAAAGGATTTCTGAATTTTCCATTTTATAATAGGATAGAGTTGCTGGATCATTTTAGTGTTTTTTTGCGGGGAATGATGCTTTCCTAAAAGGGAACGTTTTCTGGAACAAGCGCATATATTTGTGGTGCAAGCTCTCCTTTCATTGTGGGAGAGCTTCCTACCATGTTGGAAACAGTGTAAGATGTATCTGTCAGTGTAACTGTAACTTTAACGTGGGATAATTGAAGAGTAAAGAGAGTATTTTTTAGTTGTCTCCATAACAGCATTTTGGATGCTGTTATGGAGGGTTAATGCTCAAGGATGTTTGGTACCCCATAGAAGTGCCTAAAAAACACACAGTGCTAGAAATGCAAAAAACACATTCTTCCATCTGGCTCAATCAGAATATTTTGATCTTCAAGGGAATTTCAGAGCCTCACCTGCAGGGGTCATGTGATCTTCTGCCAATGCTTTCTCTGCTAGGAAAGTCTCTGAATGGGGGTAGAAATGCAAAAGCCACATAATACATAATATTATTTACATCGTTTGGGTGGTTATAATTGTCTTATACAAACTGTGTTCCTGATTGGGAATAGGGACATAGCTGGGCGGCTTCATTACAGCATAACGTAGCAGTCTGTAAGTTAGCAGAAAAGGAGGCCAGCATAAAGTGTGCTGCCCTGATGGCCGAGCCATGGTCTGCCTCTGAAACAAGGCTGATGGTGGTGCTGTTCTTATGATTTTAACGTGGGACAAGTGAAAGAAAGTGGATTCTGCTGGATTCCGTTGGCTTTGTTTTCCCTTCCACCCAAGTCATCCACTAGTGGGACAAAAATCACCAATCAACCCTTCTCCTTAACACGGAATGGGCAAGGATAGACATGTGCTTTGAACAACAGGTCTCAACATCTCAAGTTGCCTAACGAACTGGTTGCAGATGGGGAGGTGCTCAATGCCTGTGACCTGTCAGTTGACTTTCTGAACATGGGTCTAGAACTCTTTTGAAAGAGCCCTAAAGCTGCGTCCAAATGTAGTCCAGCTGATGTCACAGGTGTGGGAGAAGAGCAAGGGATGAAGCAAAAGGGAGCAATCAGTAACAAGCAAGAATCTTCCTCAGTAAGGGAAAGGCAGTGCTAACAGCGAGTGGCCATGGCCAGCAGCATCTGGAAGTAGGCCACAGAGTAGACAAGGGGCAAGCAGTAGGCAAAATGGCCCCTGCAGTAATAAAAATAAACAGTGGAAAACCTGTAATGCACTCGCTGGTTGCAGATCCAGCATCGCACAGCTAACAGAATTTGGCTCTCTTTCTCATCTTGACCTGTGCAGCGCAGGTGTTTTGCCTAAGTACAAAGCCATAGCACTCAGCAAGTGATGCTGGGAAATGTAGTTCAACAACCTACCCCACTCCACAGACCGCTACTGCTGATCTGAGAGGCTTAAACAATTGCCCTGGGTCACCTCTATGATAATATGAAATTCTCCTATATGGAATCACACCATTTCTTCACCTAGCCAGATTTCTGTTCTAGGTGGGAACAGATCTCAACGTTTTGAGTTTCTTAGCACTGATACCAAAATTCCTTCAAAGGGAGATCTTAGTTATTAAACTGATGTAAGTGTATGTGTGTATACAGTATCTCTCTCCTTCTCTCCATCCATCCATCCTGCTAGAAGGCAGCATCTAGCTATCTTGGCTGATCTCAGAAAGCTATGCAAGATTGGATCTGGTTAGTACTTGGCTGAGAGGCCCATGAAAAATACCAGGGCATGGACTGGATGAGGGAGTTGAAAAAACATCCCAGGAGAAGACAATGGCAAGTCATTTATCAACTATTGCCAAGAAGACAACATGGATATGTCCATGAGGTAAGGAGGAAATGGGCTCAGTTTGGAAAATTTAATCTCAATGGATTAACACAAACTCAGTGCTGGTGAGGTGTCCATTGATGACTGTTATTATACATGGCAAAGTTCCCTTTGCCTATAGATCACTCATTTCCAAAATAAGATCCTAAACACAGAAGTTACCAGTATTTTGTCTATCCTTACAGAGTATTGCTCGTGCCTTCTATAAAGTCGGTCTCGCTGTCACTTTCTGTTTTGGGAAGAATTACAGAAGGTATTTCATCAATTGTATTTCGTAAGTCTTGAAGAAGTTGTTTTAAATCTTGCAACGGATCCTCCTTGGTGTAGCTAAGTTTGGATGGCATCTGAATGGAAATATGGTTTTTTAAAACATTCATGAAGGCAGGACTAATGAAACACACACATAAAGACCCTCCCCCCAAAACACAATTGGTAGCGATAAGAAACAGTTTAGTGTTTCATCACGTATTTTTTAAAAGAATCTGGAGATCTGACCAAATGACTGAAAATTATTATGTGGCTGCCATCACCCTCGGAACTCCTAGCTCATGGTAATACATATGAAAAAAAGATAATTCTTGCCCATAACTATTCAAAATACTGCAATCTTAGGGAATTAAAAATTTCCTCTACTCCTTGTAAATAGCTAACAAGTGCACTAATTTTAATGCATCTGGAGTAGCAACAACCTAATGAAAAACAGGAGTTGTACGACTGACTCATTGAGATAATTAATGAGTGCTGCAGAGAAAACTGTAAAATATAACTAGAATAATAAAAGTTAGGGAATTGAAAGACTGAAGAAAGACAGAAGAAAGGCAATCCAGAAAGCTGATGTTTCTGAACCAGTGAAGGAGAGCCTGCAGTGATACAAGGCATAAAATGTAATTTTGAGAAAACATCATGCTCTCTTCTTTGCTCCCCTGAAAGATTTCCAAGGTGGCTCACAACACTTAAAACCAACTTAGCAAAAATTTCAGATCAAAATGAAAAATGATACATCTTAAAGCTCCACTGCAGCAGAAAAACGGAAAGCCGCTCATCCTGGCTCCATTAATGAATCTCCACACCTGTACTGGAGCAGCCAAGCCATGATCTTCTGGAAAAGTAGCCCTAATGCCTACACAAAAAGTTTGAAGAATGGAATTGCCCAGGATGCAGACCTATAAGTGTGTGTTGAAAAATGCTAAAATTTTAGCACTTGCAGTTTAATAGAATGTCAATGATCTCAGCAGGTAGCAGCACCTAGTAAAATAACCGCTGAACTTGAAAAAGCTAAGCAGGGTCAGCCCTGGCTAATACTTGGATGGGAGACACCAGTAAATCTGTAAGTTAGGCCAGTGTTTCTGAACCTGGCTGGAGAATTCTGCAAGTTGAAGTCCACACATCTTAAAGTTGCTGAGGTTCAGAAACACTGGGTTAGACTGGGAGTCCCTCTCCCCCCCCCCACAAAAACCCCCCACCTTGAAGGAGGCAATAGCAAACTACTTTTCTACTGTTGTCAAAAGAACAAGGGTGTCTCTCCATGAAGTCACCAGGAGTTGGGCTCAACTTGAAAGTGACATTCAGTTTTACAGAGTACAAAGAGTCAAGCCACATCCTAATGGAAAAAGGTTTAACCCTAACCCTAACCTAACCCTAACCCTAACCCTAACCTACTCTTCTATATTTATTCCAGCAAACTAGATAGCAAATGTTTCAAGATGACAATAGTACCCGGGATGTTACTGCTTTATATATCACTGTTGGACTTTGGGTGTTTCCTAAGTGATATGAATCAATTATTACAGTTGCCATAATGTTTCAGGTTCCAGAGCAGATAGAGTACTTACATGAGAGAGATGGCCTGCAAAACTTTGAGATGATGGTGTGCTGGATGAGTGAGGCAAGTTCCTCATCAAAGAGGAACCCAGTGTGTATCCTGGTCCCTGCAGCTCCTGGGGAAAAGGATGCTTATGAATAAGCACAATAAAATTTGTTGAAAGGAAAGAAGCCAGAATGAAAAGCAAATGGGGAAGATGGTAGATCTGTCTTCAGTTGGATCTGTCTTCAGTGTCTCTGGGGTTGTACAGACACAGGTTCTGGATCTGACTGGGACAAGACAAGACCACACTGTTTCCAGATTGTTCTCCGATTCTATTCAAGTTTGTAAGACAGAAATAAGTAATTTGGATATCAGCCAAGCCTTATCAGAGTAGACAAGTACTTTTACTTTTCACTAGCTTCAACCTGGCTGATTTGCATTCTTTAGCTAACAGTTTCTTATCCCCCAACTCACAGCCAGACACAATTCAAAGGAAAAGTACCAAACAAGCATTTTTCCCTACCTTGTTTTTATAGGTAGTCCCCGGGTTAAGAACACCCAGGGTTACAGATGACCCATAGTTAAGAACAGAGCCTATTGTAGCAAAATTTGAGTTAAATACACAATGGTTTGAGTTCATGACACAACACTACTTACATAGTGTTATACAATAATACTGTTCCCGCTTCCATACAAATTCGACTTAAGGACAGACCTTGGGAACGGATCTCATTCTTAAACTGGGGACTACCTGTATTTTCAACACCATTCTAAGTAAGTATATCTTAATGCTGTATCAGTGTGGGTTCCTAATAAATATACAGCCTCTTCCCCTAGCCCCAAAATCCTGATCCCTTTCCTGTTTACCCCTCTAGGTTCAAGGAGAGGGCTTAGGTAATTAATTGATATTGTATCATTCTCTCCCAGACTAAAGATATGATAGGTAACTGGCTGATATCTAACAGGACAGATTTGGCCCTGTTTCTTTTGTCTATCATCAGCTAGCTCTAGCCGCATGTCCCCACAGTGCTGTTCCTCTTCAGTGCTCTTCTTCCAAGGGCATGCCCTTGTGTATTTAGGCAAGTCTTGTCTAGGTCTTACCCAGCATCTCATAAGTCCTAGTTAGTGGAAATTGCTCAGGTTTACCAGTCATCCTTACTCTGGATAGAAACCAACAGTCCAATATTGCATCTTCCACTGCTACCTAAAGTTGTCTAATCCACTTTGGCCATTGTAGCACCTTTAGTTGCCAGCCAGCTCAATTACTCAACTGCTTCTCTCCAGAATGTTCTCTGATCTTAATGGGTCCTCCTGGAAGCTTCCAAGATCTCCCTGTTTATGCCAACTTTGTTTCTGCCCATCCCTCTCCTATGAGAAGCTAAATTAATTCCTATTCTCAGTCTCACTATTATCCAAAACCAAAGCAGCAAACTAAAAGAAGACAGTTTCTTTGAGTTACTCTTCCTCCTCCCAACACCCACTTCAGAGTTTACACGGATGAAGGGATCTGTGACTAGTCAGCTCCAAACCATGGATGACTGCTGGCTTGCCACACAGGGAGCTATTTGATTTAGAACACAACAAGATGTTTAATAAAGACCAATATTGGGACCAAGTTATCCAAATTCAGATGCTAGCTGTGGGCCAAACTACCCATTCCTAGCACTGTAATGCTAGGAACATGTTTGTTTCTTAAATGTGTTTATTCATGTGGTTTGGCCTGCTGTCCCCATATCCATTCAGGGTGTGCTGTTATGAAAACTAACAATGTTAACTTTGTGAAAAGGAGCAGCACTCCTCATTTTGCACGGTGAGTCATCTGAATCACCTGCCCACAGTCTCTTTTTACCACCTACTTAGGACAAACACATTAGTCTTTACAGCAGCCAAATGGGCATAAATCTAACATTAAAAACTATGATGTTCATAAGCTTTCAGGAGGCTACCACCTCATAGAATATGTCGCTCAGATCAACTGCAGCAACAAGTTTGTTAGTTTAGCCTCAGCAAGACTATTTTTCCCCTTCACTGTTCACATCAGGCCAACAAACTAGGGAGTGCTGAATAGCTATTGCTGTATTCTTATTTTACATACGTTTGGATTATGTAGAACAAGAGTTTTCATGGCCTTTTGTATTAGTCTAGCTGATCAGGAAGAAGGAGGAGGAGGAGAAAGGGAAGATTTTATCCCAGCCTTGATACAAGTCTTTGTGGTGACTTACAGGAGTTTATTCCCAACAAGAACTCCATGAGCTGGGTTTGGCTGAGAGAGAGTGACTGACCCAAAATCACCCAGGGAGTTTCCGTGGCTGAAGGTGGACTTGAACATGCATCAGTCCAGTCCCAGCCCAACATCTTAAACATTAATCCCACGTGGCATCATATGCATATGATGAAATGAGTCCCAGTTCATAAAAGGTTCTGCAGTAACACTTGTTCTATTATTCAATCCAGTGCATCTCTGTTCAGAGGAAGTATTTTTAGTTCCTTGGAATATACATCCATGTAAGGATGCACGCTAAGGGCTCTTCCTCGTGGCTGCATTAAAGTGCTTTCCACCAATCCTTGAGGTAGCAGAAAAGTCTGCCAGAGTATTTTGGCACTGGCTTCATTGCTGAGCCTGATTTTGACTCAGTAACAAAGCCGGGGAGTGTTGCTGACCTTAAGAAAATCGATAGGTGGATTCCCTTGGTTCTGATTGCCCACCCACCAAACATCTTGGCCCAGACTCCGCCCCTTTTGCTTATGCATGCAACGTCACAATGCATTTACAAAAGAGGCGGAGCTTGCATCACAACAGCACAACGCTGCTTTAACCATTTGTCCGCCTTGACCCTCCCACAGACACCTCTGCTCTTGTCCTTCCCATTCAGGTGTTATCAATTTCTTTGCATTGTTTTTAGAGATAAACTATAGGTTTAATTCCCTTTCATCATAATAATCAAAGCCTCTATAACATGATAATTAAGAAGCTAGCGCACAAGCCTCACCCCTACTTTGACTTCTGAGTTTTCACCTACCATTCATCTAGCATTTTCAAGCCTAACTTTGCATAGTGGCTTGAGTTTCATTAGTCTCACTGAAATCCATTCAAGTTACCCAAACAGGGTTACCCTAGCTTTTTTCCTTTGCTAATTTTTATCCCAAATAGCACTTTATACACTTCATGAGTATAATACTGGACTACAAGCAAGCCAAGAAATTGCTGGTCCTGAATGTAGAAACCAAAAGACTCACGCACCCCAAATCTAAATCCACTTGTAATAATGGATTCTGTGATTCTGAAAATTAATAAAGGTTCAGACATGGTTTTAAAGCACTTCAGCGAAGCAGAAGACTTACTTTTACATCTAAAGTGTGCTGAAGCTTGAAGCGCATAACTTCCTGCTCCTGCCGCTGAATGATGCACTGGCATTCAGCAAACTGCAGAGATGCCTGTATGAAATCAGGAGTGGGTTATTTATTATTGGGACGCAATGCGGATTTGCATACAGTATTAGCCGTAGCATTTAAGACATGTAAGTAGTTTCCTGCTATCTAGAATGGTGTTGAGAAAACTAAGAACCGTACACTAACTTGGGAATCTAACCAACTCTGCTATGGTTCCTAGTTGTCTCATACAAAAGACAAATCCAACCCCATCCATTTAAACATATCGTATTGATTCCATAGTAGTAGTAGTAGTAGTAGTAGTAGTAGTACATTTTAACATCAAAGATGGCACACAGCTGAAGATATTTCAATTGTCTTTTCACCTTCTCATGGCCTGTCTGTCACATCCAACCACCCTATCAAGACCAGATAAGAACTACAGAACAGCAGTGAAGAACTTCATCACCAGACCTAACATCTACAGTGTTTGAGTTCCATTAAAACTCTAAGGATACCATCCAGGAAGTTGAGGAAGATGCAGAAGATACCACACCACATTCAGGAAGGAGTTCAGCTTGGTAAAAAGCAAGAACTGAAGGAGCAGTGCCTGTCTGGCAGATCAATATTTCCCATCCCTAGCCCTACTAGGGAGAAGAAAGCCGGACCCAACTTCTACACCAGATCAGAGCCCTAGTGACAAAGGTTGGGGCATCAGGAACAGGTATACCGTCTACATTTAAACAAAGACAATCTAATGGGCAAACCCTCTTTGGATAAGAAAAAAAATCTGGCTAAGAGGATACCTACAAATAGATTTATTTCTGTCATTCTGAGGGGTGTCTGTAGGGTGAGGTCAAAAACATCAAGATGACGGCCATGACTCTGTGATCAAAGCCCCACTTTGACACATGTTAAAAAGGGGTGGGGCTTGGATCACACAGTCAGGGCTGCCATCTTGACTTTTTTTACTTCCCCTGCAGACCCTCCTGGTTGTTCTATTGGTAACTGTTTTGTTTTAAAACATTATGAGCTAAGCCCCCCACCTACTCTTAGCACAAGTACTGAGAAGAACAATTTGATGGGTTAAGGAACCCTACTTTATCTAGAGCAGCTTCCATTGTCACAAGTTTGTCTTTCAAACGTTTATCCTGTGACTTTAGGATTTCTAATTCTCCAGCCAATTTGTTGTTTAAAGCAGCCATACAGGTCAGCTCATGGCTTAATCGGTTCCTCTCTTCTTTCAGATAATGCTTTTCCTGTATAGAGAAGATAGAAGAAATACAGCTGATGCGAACTGTTGCAAAACCTTGAACAATGAACAGCAACTACCACACGGCTTTTGATTTCGAATGGTGACGTCTAACAATAAATGTCCACAGGGTTTGGTAAAAAAAAGTCAAGATGGTGCCCATGATCAGGCAATAGAAGCTTCACCTGTTTTTTATGTGTGTCATGACCATTTTGAATTTTTTTTATCATACCTCGTAGACACCCCTGATCTTGATGGGCTTTGGTCATGTTGTGATGAAATGGGCAGTTGACTTTTCTACGTGAGAATTCAGAGAAACTGTCTTGTACTTTGTGATTGAATGCTACTTTGGGAGATGAAATATGTTAAGTCAGTGGTTCTTAAACTGTTTGACCCAATTATCCTTTTTCCCAGTCTTGAACAGAGTCATTACCCCCACAAAAAAACCCAGACTCTGTCGTTTTATACAAGCATTCCAGCAGCAGCAGTCCCAAACTGAATTTTCAACTCACAAACAAGCAATTACGAATTACTCCATTACCCCCAGGATACACCCAAATTATCAAGGTTTAAGAACCATTGTGTTAAGAGGTCATGGTTGATTCAGCAAAAGTATAAAACAAACCTTATTGGGAGGTGGGAGCAGCCTATCTGTTACATAGAAATATACCCAGCTAACCTACCTCACAAGACAGTTGTGGAACAGCTTCTCTGTGCAAAGTTGTAAAGATAAGCTGTACAAATTTCAAGCATGTGCACACAACTTTCTCCTCAACTTATGTGGATTCAAAACCTTTATGTTTTTGATTCACCTCAGTCCTAAACTACACCTTAACTATAGTTAGTGAAAATTAGTCCACTCCATAAGCTATGGCTTGAAGGTGAAGTTATGGCTTGTTTCTACTAAATAGGATTAAAATTAACTTTTTGTCTACTTTGCCAATCCAGGTTTTTTTTTAGATTTTTATCCCGCCTTTTCTTTTCATATACAACTCAAGGCGGCAAACATACCAATACTCCTTCCTCCTCCCTTTTTCCCCACAACAACAACCCTTGAGGTGAGCTGGGCTGAGAGAGAGTGACTGGGCCAAAGTCACCCAGCTTTTTCAAACTCACAGTCTCCTGGTTTCTAGGCCAACACTTTAACCACTACACCAAGCTGGCTCTTTGTAATCTCTTTGTCAGTCTAGACCAGTCTATCTCAACCTTGGCAGCTTTCAGTTGTGTGGACTTCAACTCCCAGAATTCCACAGCCAGCAAGGAATTCTGGGAGTTGAAGTCCACACATCTGAAAGCTGCCAAGGTTGAGAAACACGGGTCTAGACATGATAAATTGACAAGGTGCGTTTAATTTAAAATAGGGAGAAAAAAATCTTCCAAATTCCTCCCCACAGCAGGTTATCTCTTATCTGGCCCATTCATTTTGGAAATGCATTGGATCAATTTGAAGAGGAAGTAACCTCAGGTTTATAATTAAGACCTTTAGGGAAAAGCTACATTAAATTTACAGAGGGTGTGATAACATGATTTAAGATTCATGACAATTAACTGGCGCTCGGTACATTTGATTCTTTCAACCATACTGCAGACAGATTTGCACCCATAACATTCTTTCAATGTGTTAACATTTGGCCCGGAAATTCTACTGGGCTACATTTATCACAGTTAAATAATTTAGCAGTTTGGACCTTAGTTGCATTAGTCATTGCTTCCTCCAAGAACTTAATTTTGCTCTGCAAAGCATCAATCTGTCCTCGTTTGGCTGTAATTTGCTTTTGCATCCCCATCGCAACTTTCATTGCTGTAAAAGAAAAGAGGTCCAGCACATTAGTACCTCTGAGAAGAGAACTCTTTGCAAGAAATACACCAAGTATTTTTAGCATAGAAATGGCCTCATATAATTCTGGATAAATTTCTGTAATAACAGGAATAGACTTGCAAGTATAGCCTATAAATAATTCTATATAAATTTTGAATTTATGAACCCACAATAGCTTGCAGGAACCTTCACTCTTTTTAAGATCAATATGAATACATTCCACTCCAGCACAGAATGGCAATGCATTTTACTGTATTCTGTACCCAAAATAAAAATAAATTCCACTCCAAGCTCCTATTGATTCAAAGACCTACACTGCCAATCTATAACTGTTCTGTGTGGTTTGTCTGTGGCAGCTCTTCCCCAAAGAATGCTGGGAATTGTAGTTTAGTGAGAATACCAAGAATTCTCTACTAGAGATCTCTACCTCCCTAGAGAACCACAATTCCTGCTTCCCTCAGAGATAAGGAAAGACACTGGTTTCAAGTCTCTAATGCCCATTAACTATTTGGGAACTTCTAGCTGTGATCATCTCTAGCTGGGAGGCACATCATCTTATCATCTTATACTAAATGCTCAGATCTGATTCAATAGCATCCATGTGAACATCTGTATTAAAACCATCAGATTAAAAGTAACAGGTTTACCCATTCCACCCTTTGCAAAAGAAGAAAATCATTCCATATGAAGAAAGTAACACTTCCACGATTACCATGGCCATCAGCCCCCTCCATAGTCTTTAAAGTGGCTCTGGTTTGCTCCAATTCAATCTGAGCAGATTTCAGCTGCAGCTTCAGTTTGCTCACAGTTGCTTCCATATCTTCATTTTTCTCTCGGTAGTCACTCTTTATAACTTCTGCTTCCTCTGCAACACACCAGAAACAACAGAATCAAATCACGCTGTGCTGTGCTGTGCTGTGCTGTGCTGTGCTGTGCTGTGCTGTGCTGTGCTGCATCCACGTAAAGGAGCCCAACATGAACTCAGTTCAGGAGCAGAGAGACCAGTTGGGAAGTAAGCAGTAAGTGTAAGTAAGTAAGTTTTAGGTTATTAGGTGTTTTAGGCAGACAGAAGATAAGGAAGGACAAAGAGTACATAGACATGTGTATTCCACAGATGACTGGGCAAAAGCACGATGACATCAAAATGAAGTTGCCCATGTTAGGATGTCATTGCCCAAATGGCTAGACTCGCACGCTTGCTTCATTATGCAAAAACATACTTCGCAACATTTGTGCGACAACGTTGTGATGCATGCAATGTCACCTGTTCCACCTTCCCCAGGGATGCCCATGCGTGTGGGGAAGCTGGGGAGATTTCCCTTCAAGAAGTCCAGACACTAAAAGGGGTAAAAGAAAGCTGCTTGACCCATCCATCTAGGTGAGGGACGGAGACAACCAAAGTTTGGGGAAAATCAAGGATTGAGGATCCAATCGGGAAGGTGGGTTTTCCATCCCAGGTAGGTTTGTAAAAAAAAAAAGGAGAGGAAAGAAGTCTTCATTTTGCCTTTTGCGGAGGGGTGCGTGTGTTTTCTCCTCTGAAGTTGGCTGAAGCAAGATGTAGTGAAGGAAGAGGATGGCCTTGAAGGACAGAGAGAAGATCCACTACCAAGACAATAATCAGATAAGTGAAACTTGAGTCCAGGCCAAGAAAGTGGCTTGTGAAAACACCTCAAACAGTTCCCACCCACCCCCAATTCTCATGAATGTAAAAGGAGGAGGAGAAGAAGCATATTCAGACTTGCACGATTCTGTTACTATAGCTGTTCTAATAAATGTTGCTTTAGGTCTGCATGGTGTCCATTTCTTAGTTGGGTATACCATATATTCAGCTGACACAAGATAGGGGAAAAGCTTCCCCAACCAGTAGCACACGTTCTTGATCTAGTGAATTGGGGAAGCAAGAATTTGGGAGCTAACTGAGGTAGGATTCTGTATAATTTCATGAACTGAGACTGGACTATGTGAACTTGAGTTTGTGTGGTGTATTTGAGAGATCCTGGGGGTGAGGTACACTGAGTCCCTGGCTTAACTGTGACTTTACTTTTACTTTTTACCTTTCAACTTTCTTCTTCATCTCTGTCCTTGTTATCTATAATAAGGACTTAACTTCTTAATGAAGCTCACAGTGCTTATTCTGGGAAAGAAAAGCCTTCAGCACACGCCTCCCTGCCAGGTCAGGCTGCTGAAGGAAGCGGTTTGGCCACTTGCCTCCTCCTCAGTAAAATCAGAGAGGATTTCTCTTGAGCAAAGTGATTGACGGCCCCTACCTAATTGGCTATCTCCAGGGATTGCAAGGAAGGTACACCAGGATTATGAGAGGAGGGTTCAGAGATCCTTCTGGGAATCCCATCAGTGCATGTACTGACCCTCTTATTTAGGAGATATCTGACTATCAAAGCAAAGAAAGACTGGACAGGGAAAGGTACAGCTCAACTGGTAAAGGGCTGCATAAGGTAGATAGGTCTGATAGAGAGATACAGCAGATCTGATACCATTTGATGTCTGACTGAATCAGAGTTCCACAACATGATGTCTTCCAGGTTCATATTCAGATTTGTCTCAACAGGCTGGGAATTGTGACCACTCCAGTCCCAAACATATCTAGGGTGATGGAATGCCTAACACACACTGCGCACATGGAGATGGCAGCAGGACCATTACAGAAAAGATTTCTTAGTCCAGAAGAGAAAGGAACCATGAGAAACTCAGTGTACCTCTGCCTTAATTATGCTAGGTAAATTGATCTGGAGAACTGCTTTCAATATTCTGCTACGTTACCCTAATAGCAATAAAGATCATCCAGAAATTCAAGTGGTTCTTGTTTCCTAAATTAGCCATCCTCAAAGGGCTAGAAAGGGTCATATTGGAGAGAGTTGGGTGGGATAATAGTGACTTACATTTCTTTCCTTGTTGAAATGAATAAGTAAATTTGGACAGTTTTTGGACTCTCAAAAACCACTTAGAGGAGGACTAAAACTCTAAAAATACATTTTAACACAACAAAAAATGAAAAATGAATATCCAAAGAGACAAATAACCATTGAAATACATCACTAGGAATTTGGTGGAATAAAAATGATTTGGCTGCCCACTTAAAAGCAAGCAAAGATAGTGCCAGTAAAATTTCATTCAGGAGAGAGCTTAAAAGTCAGAGGCACCACCAAAAAAACCCTAATATGTCCTTATCCAGTGGGCTGCCCTTAGCAGCAGAATGCAGAGGGTCTAGAAAATACTCATGTGTGAGTAAGAATTTTTCAAATATCTTGGCCCCAAGCCAAAATATATTGGTCTAGGGCAGTGTTTCTCAACCTTGGCTGCTTGAAGATGTGTGGACTTCAACTCCCAGAATTCCCCAGCCAGCATGAAATGGGGGAATTTGGGGATTTAAGTCCACACATCTTCAAGTGGTCAAGGTTGAGAAACACTGCCCTAGACCAATATATTTTGGCTTGGGGCCAAGATATTTGAAAA